TCCCATCCCCGCTCCTGCTGCACTCCATCCCTGCTTCTCGCCGCACCAACACACCCGCGCACCCTGTGCCAGGCAGCGAGCACCCTGGCCCTGGTCCGCCTGGCAAAGCTCCTTCCCCTTCCCGAGCTTCCTCCCGTACCTGCCCAGTCCTGCTGCCTGCTCGCAGCCCTCAGGCAGCGGGGACGCTCACAGCACACCCACCGTGGGGCTCAGCAGGCGCCAGCTGCTCTGCAGCTTGCCGGTGGGTGCTGTGCCACCCCCCGCAGCACCTGCATCCCGCATCACCTTGCCTCCTCCAGCCATGGCGTGGCCACAGCGGGCTCCAGCTCAGCACTGGGCCGCCTGGGGATAGCTGCCACGGTGCCGGGGTCACACTTGGTGCACACCCCATAGCACTGGCTGCTCATGGTGCCACAGGAGCCAGCGCTGGCCAAGTGTCCCTCCCGTCATGCATGTAACGGGTTGCTCCTCTGGGCTGGGACCTGCACGGTGGTGGGAGACACGGGAATGTGCTATGGGGCTGGTGGGTGCTGCTCTGTGACTTCTCCATTAAAGTGCAGTTGTCCACCCCCGGTGCCAAGAGCTGTTTATTCACTCCTCCGTGCTGCACAGCTACCGAATGACCCAGCAGGGACAGGAGCTGCGCTTGATTTCCATGCTTAAGAGATTTTTTTTTGTGTTGAAGAAAAGCCCAGCTGGGCTAGTGGGGCTGGGAGAGGGGCAGTGGGCTGTGGTTACAGTCTGCGTTGGTCCCTGAGCTCAAGCCTGGGGTGAGGGACCCAGGAGGGCTCAGCCATCCAACAGCAGCGGGATTGGAGTGTGAGCGGGACCTCAGCAAGCTTCTGGATGGAGGCACGACGGCCTCCTGCGCAGCCTTCTCCCTGGGGCAGGGCCCCGAGGGTTTACCCAGTGCCACCCCGGGTTGGTGGGGTGGCTCCCGTCAGAGCTGGCTGCTGCTGCCTTGTGTCAGCGTCCTGTGCATCACCGTCTGCTCCATCAGTCTGGCTGGATGCAGTAAGTGTCCCTCCTGCCCCCGGGGGTGCTTCCACCGTCTGCTCCATCAGTCTGGCTGGATGCAGTAAGTGTCCCTCCTGCCCCCGGGGGTGCTTCCATCATCTGCTCCATCAGTCTGGCTGTAAGTGTCCCTCCCGCCCCTGCGGGTGCTTCCATGGGTGTTGCCACCCCCACCCTGTTCCAACACAAGCTTTTGCAAGGCAGCCCGTGGGGTGGTGTACGCTGCTTCTCCAGGCAGGTCGCAAGTTCCCAGGAACTGGGAACACAGGTCCCTCTGGGTGCACGTCATGGGCTGCAAACCACCTGGTGCATCTCAATGTGATGGTCCCAGGGCGCTCCTCTCTCGATGGCATAGCTCTGCCTTGCTGATCTGTGCCTGGTCCCCTCTCTCGTGTAAGAGACCTTTGCTATCACCATTTCCCAGTGAGATTTATCAGGGGGTGTCTCGGGGGGCTGCTGGAGGCAAGCGTGCTGACCTCGGTGTGGGACCAGTGCCACTCATGACAGCAGCGCCCTGTCGCCATCCCTGGCGCAGTGGACATCCGGAGCCAAGACCCTGCTTCCCCGCCAGGATGCTCGCTGGCAGCTGCTTCTGGGCTCACCTCCAGTCCCCCTGGGGTCAGGGTATTTTTCAAAGTGCTTCAAGGACACGGGTCATTGTTGTTGATAAGCAGCGAGGGGCAGCTCCGCCCCAGCAGGAACAGCTTGTCGGCCGCTTTCCCATCCGCCCCAGAAAACACCGTCCCATTTCGGCAAGCAGCGTCTCTGCAAACCTGCTGCGGGCTGGGTGGCCATCTCCATGATGCCACACTCGGTAAGTGGTGGCCATGCCACACGGGTGGTTTGGGAAGTCTGAGATGGGTGGGAGATGCTGTTGATTGTGGTGAAAACAAATGAGATGGTGGTAAGGAAATGCCAAGCCCAGCACAGCTCTTGAGTGCCGGTGTAAGTCCAGGATAGCCCCACTTGTGTGGGGTGCCTGCAGCTGGGCATTGCTGTGGGGTGGGCAGCATCCCCATCACAGAGCAGTACCGGCATGTACCCCAAGGTCTGAAGGCCACTGCCTCAAAAAGTGCCTCCCCTGGGCTGGGAATAGGCGTTTGGTCAAGCTGAGTATCTCTCGGGCAGGTTTGATGCTGCCCTGGTTGCTTGCAGAGGAAGAAATACTCGATGTGCAATTAGAAATGCAACCGGTGGAGCCCCCTCCTTTTGTCACGGAGCGTAGAGCAACCCCGCAGCGCTGTCCCCATAGCCCGGTGTGTGCAGCACATCCCTGTGCTTCACATGCTCCCCTCCTCAGAGCCTGGCTGCCTGCCTGGGGAGACATCTCGCAAGGCCACGGGTCCCACCGTGGCTGCTGCTCTGCGGGATGCGAGGGTGGCACCACCCTGGCTGTCACAGGGTGGGCTGGAGCGGGGCTGGGGCACAGGGCAAGAGCCCAACCCACTGCATGGGGTAGGCAAGGAGGCGTTTGGGACGGAAATGCTCCCTGTTCCCACACGGGGAGTGCTGGGTGGTGTGGGCAGCCGGGCTGGAGGGATGTCTGGTGGCCGGAGTGGGCACCC